GATTTACTCATGAAAGTGGCCACTTTCTCATTACTTTCATATATTTTTTTAGTAAGGATACAAAACATACAAGTTTCATTATATAATTTTTCAAGGGATCTTATATGTGTTTTCACTCTTGTATGCTTTCCATACAAGTTTCATACAAGACAGATAAAAACTTTATAAGATTTATATATATCTTTTCCATATGGGATAGAAGCTTATAGGGAACGATATACGGGGACTATTCAGCTATTAAGCAACTTGAGGGTGTGTCCATTTCTTAAATGGGAATTAAAGCCGGAAGTGGAGTACACACAGGAAGTGATTACATCAGAGAGTCAAGAACATTTAGTTGACATCAAGGCATAATGACCTGTGGCAATGCAAAGTGGGCAGGCCACGAGTCAAAGTCTCAACTCTGAGGCGCTCGGAGGTCTTTGTTACAAAATAAGAAATGTGGCAGAAGAATAAAAGACTTCAAACATAGCAAGCAGCATGTAAGGCTACTGTGCTCTCTGACTTCATTAGCCTCAACTAAATTTAACAAGTTCAGGTAGCTTGTTAAAACATCTGAACCAATCAGAAGCCAGAGATGCTTACAGCAGTTACTGTTCCAAATTAAGCACACAGCGATGAAACTTTAGAGCTCTTATCCTAAAGAAGACTACAGCGAAATCTGAAGCATTTATAGTTAGTGATCTGTTGTTCAAGTGCGTCCATTGTGAATGCCTTCGACCTGTACACCCAGAAGACAGCATAGAGTAGATCCATATTCACTAGATCACCTTCCCAGAAACGCAGTGGCTCTGAACCTAAGATTTAACTATAAATATGAAACTTGTTCACCTTGTGTAGCATTTTACCGACACACTTCCCTCCAGATCAAACTTCACCCAAGGACAGACAGATGGACTGACCGGCAGATAATGTCAACACTACAACTGTTAGAGGGGCTAAAACAGCCACATCCTCTAGACTGAAAAAAGAAAAGCAGTGAGCGATACATTTACAAAGGTATACAGTCGCTTCAGACTGCATACCCCACCATGACTAAGCAAAAACATGTTTTATATACACACGTGTATGTATGCAAGATCCACCAATTCAAACTGCAATTCAGGAAAAACAGAGGAACTCTTTGTAGAACTGAAAAGTAATTATGAAAGACAGAGGACTCTATTGGTAAAGTTGGCTGAGCAACAAAGCAGGACACTCCTTGGTTATGGATTCAAACATCACTTTAACAGAAATGCTCTCCACAGGAAAACCTTCCAGAAGGACAACAGTATAGTACCCCAGCTACACAGAAGTGACTCTCAGTAAAAAGCCATTAGACAGCTTTGTAAAGTATGACAAAGAGCTTTTAAAGAACTCCAAACTGAACTATCCAGTCAGAAGTGAACAGACCATGTATTTAACACTCGGCCGCTGCTCATCACCGACTCATATCAGCCTTAATGTCAGCACGTCTCAGCCTGGTTGGAGCTGAAGGAAGGAAAGCACCCAAAACCAGTTCCAGAGCACAGAAACCAAACACTAAGATGAAGAGTCAAGTTTCTGCACGACAATGGCCTGAATTATACAAAAAAGACAAATCTGGAGTGGCTTCAGGACATGTCTGACTCTGCCTGATTAGTCCAGTCCATACCTGGGCTTAAAACACCTGAGAACATCTGTTCACGTAATCCTTTCATCGTGTGTGACCATGGCAGGATGATCCAGGAAGGATAGCTAACCTGGCAATCTGTCTCCACACTGAAAAATGAAACTACTGCACAATAAAGTGTGGGTATTTTCCTTAAGTGATGAGACACGATATGTTACATCTAAAGTCTGCGCTGAATTGCTTGAAATGTAGTTTATTATTAACAGAGATTGCACAGGCTGCAATGACACAGGAAATCCAAAATTAGCCAAGTGTGCAGGATTAAAGCTTGTACTATCTGTTCATGCCAAATACAAACAAAAAAACAAAAAACAAAAAAGAAGAAAAAGAAAACCATTGTGAAATGTAAGATCCTTACATTTCACTTTATTGTGCAATCAAACTCACAAAACGATACCTGACACTCTGACCAACCTACTAAAACAAGCAATGTCCCCACAGAAACAAATTCACTGGGTGTGATGGTGTTTTTATAGTCTTGTTCCAACAAATGATTGTGTAATACAGCAGATAGAAGCTTTAAAAAAAATAAAAATACAAAAACCCAACCAAAAGTCCAAGCAGGTCACACAAGAGGAAGCTGTGGAATGAATGAGCAGAGTTTTCCAGACTTTACTCGGCGCAACGCTCAACCTAAGTGCACAACACACTTACCGACAGCTGCTCCAGTTTTGGATGTGGGAAGGTTGGTGCAGTCTCCGATCCCAAACACGTTTGGATACTTGGTATGTTGGAGAGTTTCTTTGTTCAGATCCAACCAGCCGATCTCGTCGGCCAACGGACTGCCTTTAATCACCGAGCTGGGTCCCATTGGCGGTGTAACATGAAGCATTTCATACTTAAAAAAAATAAATAATAATAAAAAAAAAAAAATTCTGGTTATTCTGGGGTTTCTTTTTCAAATATTTTATATATTAAGATGCAAAAAGAGAAAATGTGTAGCCTAACAGGTTGCAACCCCCCCCCCAAACAAACACCCTTTTTATCAGTACTTAAAAAGGACATTTATACATGAAACAAAAGTGAAAGTTGCCGTTACAGTTACCTCGATAACTTTGGTTTCCCCTGGTTTGTCAAGATTTTCAAACACAGCTTCTTGCTTATCTGCGCGCACTTCAATCAGGTTGTGCCTCAGGTTAATCTGTAGGTCACGCTTTTTCACAATCTCCCACAGTGAGTCAGCGTATTTCTTTACCCCAAAGATCACAGGCAACGATGTGTTATAGATCACATTGGCTTTTGCTCTTTTGCCAGTCTTCAGTTGAAGCAGAAAAAACAAAAACAAAAACCACTCATCAAATTTGGAAAAAAAATAAATAAATCACATTTGATTTTTCAACATTGTCTCTTGAATGGATCTCAAAGATTCAAGTACCTTCCTGAGGTAGGCGTCTGACAGGTACATGATCTTTTGTGGCGCTCCAGCACATTTCACAGGAGTATTTGGGAAAGTGAACACAGCATTGCCCTCTTTGAAATCCTGCAATGCTTTCCACGTTTTCTCCACAGTTTGGACAGAGTAGTTAGAGCCAATTTTTGGGTGCTCAAACCCCTCTGGGAGTCCTTTGATCTACAAGTAAAAACAACAGCAAAAAAAAGTATGAGTATAAATCTCTTAAGATGTAAATTGGCAGAGGCTGATTAAACAAATGGGAAAAAAACCCCTGTGATTTCACCTTCTCATAATGGAGCTCTAAACCAAGCGCCACAATCAAATATTCATACGAGATCTGTAGGAAGAAAACGAGTTTATGTCAGGTCTTTAAAATAATATTCAGCTTCTCTCTCACACACACGCACACAGAGACAGATCACGTGTTTTTAAGCCATTTTATAACTTTACAGTTTCCTGTTGTAAACTTACTTCAGTCCCGTCATCTGTGCGTACAGTATTTGTCTCTGGGTCAATTTCCTGAACCTTAGATTTCACCCATTTCACTCCAGATGGCATAAGACTCGCAGTGGGACGGCTTGAGGACGCTACAGTCTTTGCACCAGCACCAACCAGGGTCCATATTGGCTGATAGTAGTGGATCTGAAAAACACTTTTTTTTAATAAAAAAAAAAAAAACTCTGTTGACACAAGCTTGTGTGCAAGTTTCCTTTCAAGGTTTGAAGCACAGAAATGTAAACATGAAGTCACGGATGAAATGAATGAAAGCCTAAATCTGCAATGGGTGCTGGGTTACTGTGATCCTCTAGTGTGTCCTTACCTCGCTGGGCTCCACCACAGCTACATTCTCTGCTCCCACCAGCCTCTTCATCCGGGAGCTCATTGTGATACCGCCAGTTCCTCCTCCCAGCACAAGCATTTTGTAATGCTGTTTGGCAGAGGCATGACTGCTTGTGTGAAACTGAGAGATAGCAATGCCCCTCGAGTGGCACTGCTTGAGATGACGCAGTGCAGCCATCCTGTGTCTGAACCATAAGCACAGGTCGTTTTAGATCAGCCTCAGCTACACTGTCTGGGGTTAGTGCAAAAACATGACAATCTCTACTTTCTGCTTTGCTGTTTCCCATTAGCTAGAAAGTAAAGAGCTTAGCCAGATACAGGAATGGCTGGTGGAAATAAAACAAGCAGGATTTCAAACTCTCATCACATGTCTGAGCATTATTTGTTATTTGCAAATCAGCCCAAATATCTAGTGTGCTGACATGCACTAATAATGGAGGGGGGGCAGTGAGGTCATGATTTTGATTTTGTGGTTTTTATCTGTGGTTCTACCCACAGGTATTGTTACACAGGCGCCCACCAGGCCACACAAACAAACATAAACAAACAAACAAACAAACAAACAAACAAACAAACAAACAAAAACCACACAGTGTGCAATACCATAACATTTAACGGTGCTTTAAAGAAACAGGCCCAAAGAAGTTGTACACCGCACCACCACCTCAGAGCTGTTACGCCAAAACAAACGTGAACACAGGTCTCATCTATCCGGGTCCAAGCACAGTCTGAACCCAAGGCAGTGCTGCTGCTGTTGCATGCTGCGTAACAAGCTGGCACCCGCACAATCATTCCAGCACAGACAGAGAGCTGATAACGTGGTGCTCGGGTACACAAGTACGTCAATAAACACAGGCCTACCTCAGCAGGAGCGCTGTCAACCTCCCGTGTTAATGTCCGTTTAGGCGGAATGCTCTTAGGCTGCGAACAAGTCCGTCTGACCTAATTTCTAATTTCCTCTCAGTGAAGAAGGTACCAGTGCCGCTTTCAAGCCCTACCCGCTGCCCAATTGCAGTTGGCACCTCCGGTCCCGCCCACTTCAGGCGAGTCACCAATCAGAATCGACTTTTTTAACCGTCAGTTTAAAACTCTAGTGTTAGCTTCTACAGCTACTGTAGCCTAATTAAACTAAAGGCATTAGAATAGATTATTGTGGGTATTTTGGCAAACGGGGTAACGTATATCCCAAAAGTTTATACTAAGTTTAAAAGTGTTACATTGTTTTCCTGTGCTGTCGAAATCTGACACTCTACTTAACTAACTTTGAATGTGGCCTGAAAGCACCTCAGAGTGGGCGGGTTGGGGACATGCTCGCCCCGCCTGCACGTAGTCGGCCTGGAAAGCACTGTTTACGGTACAAACTGTGACTTGTACGTGCTACCCATTGAGCCGGTGATGGACCAGCAATGTATTTGTTACGTGATGTGCGAGAATGCTTTTATTATTAATAAAGTCATCTGTGACATCTCTGTTACTGTAGGCTTCTAGTAGTACTATACGAGTTTGCCCTTTAAACCATCAACATGCTGTAGGTTTGTTGTTTATGGCTGGTCATTTTCCTGTGTACACGCCCGCTGATTCTTATCACGTAAACTGCTCAGCAGATAAAACGTATAAGCTGGAGGGTTATGTTTATATAAAGGTTACATTTGGTGCAAAAAGCCTACAACGAAAAGTTTTCATCATTATCATCATGACTGTGCTTGTTTTGTATTCCTCAAACTGGTTTTACTGCTTCAGATGTCACCCCTATGTACCATCTGCTTTTAGATCATGTGTCTATAAACCAGTCCAAAGTTTAAATGATGAAAGTTCACTTGTAATTTTCAGCGTTCGCTTCACTCTTTTAAGGACTGTTGTATGGAGTGCATATGCTACAGTTGGGATTTAGACGTGTCAGTACAGATATTACAATAAAAACAAACTTTTTTAAAAACAGTTGACACATAGTCTTAGCAGACATCCAGAGTCTCAGTAAACACATCCATCAAAGCCTCTTCAGGCAAGAATAATAGATTTTTACACATTTAACAAATCCTATAACTAAGATTTTTCATCCATCCATCCATTCTCCAATTCAGGGTGGGGTATGGGGCTGGAGCCAATCTCAGCTGTCATGGGGCAAGAGACAGAGTACACCCTGGACAGGTGACCAGTCTGGTACAGGGCCAGCACAAACAGAGAGACGCGCTGGCATTCACACCTATAGTCAGTTTTTGGAATCAATAATGAGTGTAACCTAGAGAGTACCATATAAAGATTTAAATGATCATGTCACATTTTACCTCTGACCTCTCCTTCAAGGTCAGTCGACTGGTCTGAAGGTCAAAGTGATAATAATGCTATAGAGCAACTTCAATTTAAGTTTCTTACTGCCATTGTTTGTATTGACAACAAACATATAAGAAATGATATATGGAGATTCTAAATACCTCTGACCTCACTTTTATGTTTCACACCTGCCTTTCTTTAAAGTTGACCCCAAATTTGTTATATCTTTAAAGAAAATGTTATCAAGAGGAAGAGATTGAGCTGCTTAGTTTAAAACATACTGTATATTACATAATATAATATATTTTTTCCAAACGTTAGTTTTCATTTGTATTCTACTTGACTAAAATGCTTTAGTTGTCTGAAAATGTTTAGCTTTAGTTGAGTTTTTATCACCACGCAGTCACCTCGCAGGCTGGAGCCTATCCCGACTGTTATAGTGTGAGAGACAGAGTACACCCTGGACAGGTCGCTTGTCTGGTGCAGTGCCAACACATAGACAGACAACCATTCGCGCTGGCGTTCATACCTACAGTCAGTTTTTAGAATCCCCAATTAACCTAACTCCCATGCACTCCCTTTGAACTGTGGTAGGAAGCCAGAGAACTTGAACCCACGCAGACACGGGGAGAACATGCAAACTAAACACAGAAAGGCCCCAGCCTGGATTCTAACCCAGGAACATCTTGCTGTGAGTGCTAAACACCACACCGCTGTGTCACCCTTCACTCAAACAAATATTTATGACCCAAATGCTGACTTTAAGTAATTTTATTACAAGTAATTTTGTTAGATAAGTACAATATAAAATATACATTTAATAGAATCTGGATAAAGGAAATTTACGTGACTGACATACATTCAACCTACACTAAGCAAAGTTTGCCACTGTAATAACCTTGGTTATGTCTCTCCGAGCTCCTTGATCCCTTTCTAATGAGAGCGTCAGGTGCTTTTAGTCCCTGTAGGCTCGACCTCGCCTTCCGCACACCTGTTTTGTGTTATGCAGTACAGGAACACTGTGTTTTAAGCAGTGCACATATGGTGTGATATCGTTTTAAAAACTAAAGATGTTCAGCGGTGAAAACAACGACTGTTAAAACAGTTTCACATTACTTACGTAGAGTATTATTTAACCGGAGCTTGTGCTTTCTAGCATTTAGTCTGTTTTGCTTTATTTGAAAGGTTGATGCAACAGAGGGTGCACCTCTGTGTTGCAAGCTCACGGCTTGCTTTAGTGTAGAAAGTCTAATGTTGTGATAATGGTGTGACTCTTAAACTGCCCAACCCTGTTCTCTAAATGACAAAAAAAACC